CGAAATGACGTGCATACGCGGACAATTACGATACTCGTCCGAGTGCCATGCACAGGGCCGTGCCGGGTTCACGTGGCAATCCGAGGCAGGTGTCAAGAGCATTCCTTTCTGGTCGGACAGTTGTCTCGGAAAAGCCGCCTTTTTGCGAGAAGATCATCAGACGTATCCCAGGAACCCCCGTGACCGAGGCGTTGCGATTGACTTTGCCGGTGAGGCAGCTGATGCCTCCACGACTGGATAAATGAGATTACGCGGAGAAGCCTCGCGTGGAATCCACATCGTATCTGCCAGCTGCTCAGTATCTCCGGAGTTGTCTCCGGCAACCTGGTTCAGAACAAGAAGATTTCTTTCCCTCCGGGGTCTCCGATCCTTGTTAGTGCTGCAGTAATCACTGCTGATGGCCAACGTCGAGGGACTCTACGTCTCCCGTCAAGCCGCAGGCGCGCCAAAATCCGGGAAATGAACCAAATGAAAAATTACTTCGATTATATACCTATGCTCCTCGACATACGACGATATAAACCATCCAAGTACAGTATTTCATACAAGAAGTGGACTCGTACATGGTTCATTGAACAAAGAAAAGTAGGCCGTGATGATCTCTCGCGTATATAGTACAATGCTCGCGACGGCCAAGCACGCTACCCTTATTCGATTTGAATATGAAAGATTTCTATATTTTTATGGAGCCCTGTGAAAAAGTTTGTGGAATCACAGGCAAAACTTTCATGGAAGAGCTCTTTTTAAAATTGATCAACAATTCAAATGGTACCTTGGATAATCGATGCTTCGCATGATCCATTTTTGGATGATGGACTCGGACGAAACTGATGTTTGCATCAGATAATGGATCCTATTCCGGGTAATATACTACATGCAAATGGATTATCTGCCAAAAACACAATTTTTGCTATCCGTTTGGCTGCTGGAATGCTTTTCTGGAGGATAAAAGCTTTGTGTATTTGATCGTATTGATCAGTTTTCATAATTTCCTGGTGTTTTGCTGATGTACATTATAATGCTTTGAAGATCCAAGAATATTTTTTTGCTTTTATGAAATTATGAAGGTAGCTGAGGGATCTGGAATAGAATGCATAATTAGCTATTCCTGATAATGCACTAAAGTTTCACACTCCTCAGTTAATAGACTTAGCGAATAATGGACTTCCAATTGGACTAGCATAAATCTATCGAGTGATGCATCATTGTGATAGAGCCCTGTAACTCATGAAACAAAGTAGGATAACAGTAAAATGTTCCTTCTCTTGAGGTGTCGACATCCTCATCACGTGAGGCATTATTCTTAGTTGTTTGAATCCCATACAAGAGTATTTTTTATTTCTTTAATTTGAGTCTCCTTCATTTTTCTTACAGTGGCTGCAGAGCCCCCGGTTAATAATGGCGGAGTCCTTGCGGCTCCACGGATTAAACTTTGAGATTACAATATAAGTTATATTTTCTTTATATACGCCTTATACGCTTAAAAACTACAGTACAGTACAGGTAATTCAAAAAATTAAGCTAACTCACTGCTTTTCTTTTCAAATTTTACCGCGGATGCATACGACTTATATTCGGTGCCAACAGCGCGTTGAATGAAGTAGCTGTTAGTTATGCTGTAAAGTGAAATTCTTTAATTAAGTGCTTCGAGGAAAATAACAATGCATGACATTTTCTGTAGCATTTTCGCCTTTCTTTGTTATGTGGAAATGCGTGCATAAATTACCTTGAGCAGTATCATACCCCGTCGAGAAATAAGTTATTTGTCACTTCGTCGAATCCATGTGGCAGGCTCAAGTGTTTCATTCCATTAAATATGCATTAATTTCTCGAGGTTTCGCAGGTTGTTGCTTCGTCATCTATGAAAAAAACTCTATTTCGAAATACAGCACTATTGGTCTCCATACATGGACTCATTGAGTACTTGCGGTACAGTTATTTTAGTGTAATGACTTGTACGCATGTTATGGCCCACCAGAAAATGAGTTTCGAACGAAGAAGCGGCTGTAGACGAAGGGATTAAAAATAATCCGTTTTTAAAGTGGTCAACCTTCCGGTTCTCCGGAAATGACGCATCTACAATATTATTTGACCTGCAATGTTCCATACCTGATCATGCTGATTTCCAGTACTGCAACGAGAAAGAATTAATCGTGGAATTTTTCTTATTTTTGTGGAACAAGGAAATGGGGGTTCATTTTAAAATATTTGAATGTGTTCCCCACATTGTCCCTGATTTATGAGCCAAATTAAAGGGAGCCATTCTAAGATTAATACTCATTGTGTTGTGTCGATAATAGACGCTGGCAATAGCAATTGTTCCCACGTGTCGAACATTATATTGAACATTTAGGCGTGCTAAATCCCTCGAATATTTCCAAAAAAAACTTTCTAGACGCATTCTGAGATGGTCGTCAAAGTGGTAAAAGTTCCGATCAGAGATATTGGCCCTCGGGGTCACATATGCACGCATGCAAATTATGGACCATCAATCATCCTCATTCATTCTTCTGTTAACCCTATACTACTTGATATCGTAATCCAAGGAAAACCGGTACGTCCTTCAGGATTTAAAAAAAATCCGTGAGGAACGACGCGATGAATAAGCACACGTAGGCTTTATTGAACAGCTAAGCCTATATTCACTAATTGAAGAAACCCACCATCAGGATCAATCCCTCGAGTAAATCGGAGAGTTGATACAATGCAGTTTCTTGGTCATTTTCAAAGCAGGATTTCATTTTATGGCTTTATTTTGCGGAGGAAACTCGCGAACGCAAGAAACGTTTCCAAGGCAGGCGGAGCGACTTTCTTCCTCCGCACAATAGCTAAAAAAGACACTTAATTACAGCAGCGGAATAATGTTGGTCCCGAGCTGTAGAGTCATATAGCGGCCGCGCCTTCAGGAACTTCGCTAAGGAAGGACTAACCAGCTTGTTTCCCGATAGCGCACTTCCTCTGGAGCCAAATTAAGTTCCCACACAACTCCGGGTTCCCAGGGGGCAATTGGCCACATGCTCGAATTTGTCCAACGAAATCATCAAACGATCGCTACAGGTATTTGCACTCTCTTTCTGAGATTATCGAATTTCCTCGTCCTTTGTACGATCGGGTCATGGTGAGCTCTTCGGCGACCGCAGAGTAGCTTTCCGACTGCTTTTGAGCAAGAATAGGAAGGGCGCTGTCGATCACGATAATCTGCTTTAGCCTCGACATGGCGAGATAAATCTGCGAGGGGGTTCACAATATTGCTTCTAAAAAATTCAGGGCTTCTTGGATTCTGGTGCTTGCTTTTTTGTTTTGTTGTGTTTTATTTTCTAGCTGACGGGTGAAAGCCCTTGGCAAGAAAAAGGGGAAGGGATGGTCCATTCCGGTCGTTCCTTTTGTTCGTCTCGATGGAAACCCCCCGTCAGCAGATCCAGCGAATAAAATGAAGGGTTAAAAATGCCAGTCATCAATCATCTCACGGAAAGAACCGTCGCCTGTTTTTCTGACCCAGACTTCTTTCAGGAACTGGCTGGTTTTTACATCTTACTCCTTTTTTTTTGGCGCAACGTCGTGGAATAAAGCAGGCATCTCCATCGGTTCACAGTATGGCAAGAAAAAACCGCATTCACTCCGTCATTCTCCAGCTTTTGCGTACCCCATGTGGGACGAATTGCACAAGCAAAATTGCGACAGCCATGAACTTGCTGATGCAGTTTCAGAAACAGAATTCCGTTAAAGATCCATAATCGCATGCTGTGAACGAGGGAATCGTTGTGCGATAATATAAATTATAACTGAATACTGAAAAATCTTAGAAGCTTTTTTTTATGGGGAATTTAGGTCACATTTATGGGGGATTCTCTCGAGGAAGAGCTAATATCGTAAATTTGCCTGGATCTAGTTTTTTTTTTTGGACGCTGAGCTTTTTGGCGTCGTTTTTTTTATTTCTTATGTTGGTATTGCATGTAGGATTCAGTTCCCAAAAAAAATTATATACGCATCTCACCCTTAGATGAAGGGAGTCCTTTATAAATACTGCATTTAACAAACTCATTACTTTTATTCGGAAGAAATTGAACGAGAGAGATTTCATGAGCAATTCTCTTCCACTTTTGAATCACAAATTTCATAAGTTCGTCGGGTTATGGAGGGGATTAAATACAGGAGCTCTACTCAATATCGCATTAAATGTAAATGTCAGGACTTATTTTTAGCTCAGCACTTGTATTCATGGAGGTGAATTAGGAGGCGTTTCGGGGCTCATTCAATGATTATACTGTACCTTATTCGGAACGGGTTGCGAGTAAAATATTTTTTCCGTATAGCTTTTCACTGATGAATGATGGAAGAACATAAATGCGGCGGCGCCAATATTTTTTTATTAGTATTTCCAAATTCGCATGAACATCGACATCGCATTTCCGTTAGATGAAGAAATCAATCGCTCGCATAGATTCGCATGCAGCACGACACGTCTCTGTCAAGAGGCGCCAGACCATCACTCGACCAAAAACAAGACAATTTGAGCGAAATTGGCACAACGCCCAGTAGAAGTAGCTTCTTTCAATGCATTCTTTGAAGTGCGAGTCACATGAAAAGAAAAGGAAACGGTATGCAACATGAGTCTATCAATGACTAGTGACCTACAGAGGCAATCGCAGAGATCTCGCTTTCTTCCTTATGCAGTCAACCGCGGAACCGATTCCAGGGTCGATCTGGAACACAGTTCGAATTCAAAAAACAGAAAATAATGCCATCTTTAAAGCGTATTTGAACCTAGGCGATCAACGTGCCGATAGCCTTTAGAACCAGCAAAAATATTCATATGCCCTTGGAATGCATCTCTCACGCTTTCACATTTACATTCGTTGCGAAACGCCGCTTTCGAAATTTCGATGAGAAGTTCTAAAAGCTGCTGTGTACGCGATGAATAAGAATGATGGGCTTGTCAGGGTGACACACTCGACTGGTTGAGCCGGCAGTATCATCAGATGAGATCCCGAACGAATGACTCAAATCACAATGGCCTGCTAATGAATACAAAAAAATGGAATGACCTGCGCTGTTTTCACATTCAGTGCGCGTGTCAAAATGGCGGATGCCTTATGAACGGTATCGGGCGTGTTGATGATTCCCGGGGGCCTTTCTCGGAAAGAGAGCGAGGAACCCGTGATCAGTAAACCGAAACCAAGATGAGACGATTTTCCCGGAGCCGCAATGACCCGACGGGAAACCCTAAAAACACCAACATAATCCCGGTTTTCAGGCATTTCCAAGCTTGAGAACTCGTGCGCGGCGACGTTCGGTTCCCGGGACGACGTTTGCAGCAGTACTTCGTTGAATCAGCTGTTGCGCGGGATTTCAGGAGGCCTTCCCGCGTCTGGAACCCGTGGACACCGTGGGGAACCCGCGAAGGATCCCAAGCAGCGGGAGGAGGACCAAGAGGTAGGAAATCCGGCTTGTAACGCTTGCATTGCGGTGGTGCATGGCGGCCAAGTTCTCGCCTGCCGGAGGAAAAAGAAAAGTTTGGGTCAAGAAATCAGAACCAGAAGAAAAACTAATCCCGGATAAGTTGGTAGGATTCGGCGTTGTGATGCTGTAGCTGTGCAGATTAAAAATTAAAAAAAAACCTCACATGTACGATACTCGCGGCAACAGGCTCGTCTCGGCAAAATAAAATCTCCGACACTCTGCGGCAGGATATTTCTACCTTTTTCTGAATTTAGAATTCCTTAAAAACATGGACAGTCTTTTCGCAACACTTTCATGGTACCAAGTCCATTCGGTTAGTTCCTTGAATTTGCATCAAGGGCCCCGCATACATTTTTCGGACAATGTCAGGAGTATTAGAATCGTAACCAAGTCAGGTAATTGTCTGTGTGCTTACATCACCAAATTGCCATTTTTATTCACTTGACAGTACATGACCCCAGTTCTATAGGCTGAGAAAACTTCGAATACCACCTGCCATGCAGGGTAAGCAGAAACCAACCCTTGTGCCCCTGTGGAAATTTTATCCTCTGTACACAGCATGAACAAATATCAATGTCAAAACCACGGAATGTATTCATCTGAGATAAAAATGTATCTGACACGACTCCGAACGTGAGCTTAGGTTATCTTTTCCACAGATTCACTGTTGATTGATGTGATGCGAGATCAAGAGTAAAATTGTGTACGGAGAAAAGAATCAAATGAACTCTTCTGTTTTTCGAGCCGTCTATTTGTGTAGCTTTCAATGACTGGATCGTAGTTCGACATACAGTATATGATTTGTGATAGCATCAAGAGTCTGCTTCAAGTTCGACAGTACAGTACACATTTTTGTAGCATCCAGGTTTCCCATTCCGACATGAAAAAATATTTTTCCTCATCTCTTCACGATGAGGAAAAAGATGATCAATAATAATAGGTCGGATATACGAGTACGGTAGAGCCACGACAATTCAGTCTAATGACTGGACTTTTGTGCCTACACAATAAATATCGCAATAACGGGAATAAAAAAATATCTCAAGATGAGAGAATATTCATTCAACAATCACTGGACAATGTATATTACTTACGTTCCCGCAAATCAAAATAGCAAAAGATTTTTTCGTATCCCAGAATTTTTTTCAGAAAGTGCGCGCGACGCATTCTTTTTTATTCTCATGAGCCCATTTCAGAGGCACAGCACTTTCAGGAAAATACTCCAGAATCTTGAGGCTAAGAATTACGATTTGTGCCTTTAATTCTGGTTTAAGAAGGCATAACGCAGTACAAAAAGGTGACGGCTTATTGGAGCGTTGCATTATCATATCTGTCCGTATTGTCTGACGCTCTGGCGTTCTTCACGAAAAATTGAAGCTCCTAATGCCTCAATACAGATGAAAATATTGCAGAAAATACACGATAAAAAATGCGACAAACATTCAGAACAGTTAGGCTACAAAAGCAGGGATAAAAGAAACATAGTTCAACGGACTGACCAATCCTAGGACAGATCGTGAGCTTGATTTTTCTTTCAATATTGTAGCATGATGCTTTTATACACGATCAGCAAAAACACGGCTTTTTATTTTCTGATGATTCGCTTTTCGGTGCTAATAATACTGATTTTAATTTCATATGGCTTTTTTTCGGGATTCAAGTCGATCAGAGTCAAGCCAACGAAGTGGCTCGAATGAAAATAATTTTCTGTACAATATAAGCGGCTGTGATACCTCTGATTAGCTTCAAAGTTAGGCACGGTTAATTAAATAAACGGTAAACTGAGGGCCCGGATAATGAAGAAATTCTCCGGTACAATATCCCGTTCTCTCCTTGAAATTCCTTCCGCGAAAAATGTCGCACCGCAGTGTTAACGGGTTCAACCCAGAGGGGATAACAAGTCGGACTCTTATGGGAGTACCCAAATTTTTAACCACGGGCTTCAATAGAATTAGTAATGAAAAGTCCCGGCGGGACTGTAACCCGCCTGCGTTCTTCGACAGGAGTTGAGCCCACGCTGTCAGGAGCGCGAATTATCGAACAGCCCTCAAGATCCGAGTGACGATTTTCGCACGCTATGGCGTGGATAGAGAACCTTCGACCTTTCAGATCTTCTCTCGGTTTTACCTCGCAGACAATGAGAAATCTCTGATTAGCAATCCGTCCGCCCATCGTCAACATCAATATCTGGCGGAGGACATTAAGACGGTTAGCTGCGACGGCGTCAGCTGCGCCCCTTTTTTTCCGGTAACGGCGCCGAGGAAAAGATTTTTTCCTCTTGGAGGAGTGCACTTCCTCCTCCATAAACCTTCAAGGTCTTCTGGCAATAGGGACCCGAAACCGACTTCAGTATCTCTCGAGGAGCTGTTTTTCCTCATCAACGGGAAGGAATTTGCTCGAGCTGGGCGACAAGATCAATGGAGTTGCAGGACATGCGATCGCCCCCCCCCCCCCAAATGTTTTGGCACAGCCGAGATTTATTGTGCGAGGGAGACGTATTGGAATTCAAGCTCTATAACGGGAACGAAGTTCGGAAATTGAGAAATCTTCAATTTACATTTAGATTAGTCGGTGCAGATTCGCCGAATGTGCGCCAGTTCAGCAGAAGTCCGGAAGATTTATAAAAAAAAAACCACCGCATCTTTGTTGCCGCCGATGATAACGCGCAGTTCTTCCTGAAAACAAAACAAAAAGACTCGCGGAGAATTGCGGGAAAATTTCCCTCTCACAATACTCCCGGAGATGAAGGCGACGCATCGTGTTAAGTTATGACGGGATTTTAACCGTCTGCACGAAGAATCCGAGCATTTTTCAGCCTCCTCGACGGCACAGCAAAAAAAAAGAGAAGAAACTCAACCTTATTTCTGGTCATGGAAATTAAAAAAAAAATTAGTAAAGCAGTGGCTTTCCGGCGTTTAGATAAGATAGAAGGTCCTTCCGAGCTAAGAAAAGCAATTCTGTTTAGCGTATCTGCAGCTGCAAGGCCTGATGGCATCGTCTTCGCTCCCAGTGTCCGTAATGATTGCACTTTCAATTTATCAGCAATGTGAGGGCTGGTGCGGGACTGCCTTGAGGAGGGCGGGGGATCCTCTTTAGTTCTCTAGACGCACCACCGACTCCTCTGCATTCGAATACCACATCACGCGAGCCCTAAAAGTACATTTGTCATTCATCTCGCAGGTACTAGGATCTCATTGAATGTGCACCCATTCAACGGGGCGCGTTTGTGCCCCGTTGAAACAACGTGATCTATTGAAAGCCGGGTTCCCTTTTATTTGACTCCTGCAGATCACAGTGTATCGTATTTATTCGACTAGAAGCGGTTTTTTTTCTTCTCTCCCACATAAAAACTACACTCAAAATCGTGGATGCGGCTTATGTTCGAAATACTGTACGTTCCAGACTTCAAGAATGCGGCCTGCGGTGAAAAAAAACTGCTTCATATTTGGGTTTTAAAGACCGAATAAACAATTTAAAAAATGCGATTAAAAACAAACTTTCAATTTAATTTTTAAAACATTAAAAAATCGAGATTATTGGCTTAGTCAGGAATAAGCTGCTGACTGTTGTCTCAAAGCTAGATATATTCTTTTGCGTGAGAAACTATCAGATAACAATTCCCAGAAGAATGAAATTCACTTTTCAATTCCTTTGTATAGACCAAATTTATCCTCCAACGTTAAAAATGTGTAGAATCAAGGGTTTTTTCATTAAAATTGTTCTTCGAAATCCGGGTACGATTTTGTAGTAGCGCAAAGGATATCTCAGTTAAGCAGAAAAAAACAGCTGCGTTATAAATTAGGAGGCCTAAGAAGTAGATGCGAAATCAAATGCGCATCGAAAATCTCGAAGTCCTTCTGTCATCAGAAGAGCGTGACCTTGTATTTGATTTTCCGAAAGCCGGCATTCCGTTGATACGGTCTCCAAATACAATATTCTATACCGCCCTTGAACTTACAATCTTCCTCGCCGAGAATCAGTTTGAAAACCTAAAATTACCCAATTAGAGAGCCCTACGAGTACATTTGTCATTCATCTGCAGGTATACTGAGATCTCATTCAATGTGGCGCGGCCAGGTCGTCACCGGCATCCCGCCTAACACAACATTTTCTCTTTGAAGCCAGGTTTCCTTTGTTTCGCCCTGAAAATTGCGGTACGAATTCTGCCTCAAAAATCGGAAAAGCAGCTGTTTTATTATATTTATTGGATCTTGGGCCCGGATGTGCCCACCTAAAAAAAAAAGACTGGAAAACTTGGGCGCGGCCGATGAAGTTCGCGGATAGCCCGGAGTTCCTAAGAGGGGCTTAAATCAGGGATCAAGTGGAGGGGAGAAAGATAAAATTGCAGGGGAAACGGCTGGCCAAAATTTTGCCATGGGGAAAATCACCCGAAAGATATTTTCCTAGTTGATTTCGAGGTGGTTCGATCAATACTGTATATGACCTTTCTGTATTCCATACAATTTTTACCAAAGCCATTTTCAATCGATATGCAGCATTTTAATTTGAATGAAAACTCATAAACCCTTTTCAAAATGTCGTTTTATGCTATAATTACTCCCGTTCGTTCCATTTCTCCGAGGCCTATGCTGCTTCTTTTCATAAAATGTTAGCTAGAATTAGGATGCAGCCAATAATTTCGTTCAGAGTTATTGTGAAATCGGCCGTGTGTCGGATGATTCAAAGTTTAATTTCCATCACAAGATTCGAATTTTCCCCCTCATTTCAGAACTTCTATCATCGCGAGAAATTTTTTGAGTTTCTTTCTAGTTGTGAGAGTCTCTCATGCGTCTGAACATTAAGCAAATACGTGCATGAAGTTGTTGAGTAAATGAGCAAGAATTCCGCAAAGAAACAGTCTGCAATTATGCGATTAACATGTGACACTTGTACAGTTTCCATCGGCGTGAGAAGCGCGAGACATTGATTCAAGTGAAAAATTGAATTACAGTTGTACGCTGAGGCAAGGTGCAAGGAACAAGATAAGATTCAGCGCGCGGCTCAGTTTGACGAGATGCCATCCACTCGAAAACCTTCGCAAATGTCTGATCAAATTTGCAGAGGAAGTCCAATTATATGCATTACGAACGAATTCATTTCGTGGAACTCAACACGTTTGTAGAAATCTCTATTCCCGATCGATCATGAGTGCTCCTCTTTCCGCTATATTGTCCCACTCGTGGAGTTATCGTGGGCGACGTAAGAAGTGCTTCTGTGAACAAGTTTCACGCTCGTACTCATCATCAACAGGATGATCAATGTACAGAAGAAAAAATATCCACGAAACTTGTGGTACAATACAACGTTGACCAGGGTGAGGAATATTGCGGTCGGTGGCAATAAATCGGCGCGTGAGGTCAGGGCCGAATGTGCTCGCAACTAGAAAGTCGATAAATTCTCGGAGATCGGCGAGCAGACTTCTGCTCGCATTTATACGCCCATTCAGAAATATATAAAAAACGAGGCACAGAAGTGGTCCCGCATACTTCGTGACTTCTTGTTGTTCCGTAATCAGCGCGTAAGAAGAATATGCCCAAGTCAGCAGATAAATACAGGAATATTTATGGATAAACGGAGTTGGCCCGTGAACGGCGATAGATATACATTAGATCTCCAGGGACATTCGGAACTCCCCAGAAACTGCCCATTGCCAAGACGCAGTGCCTCCGAAAACTTCGAACTTCCAAGTGATTCAACGTTCTTACCAGCAGCAATTGGATTTGCAATGGTGGCCGCAAAATGTCCCGAGCCCATGCGCCCTGCAAATAAATGGTCACCCCGTGCAGATCAACGCCCGGAAATGCCTAAGCCTCTGCTAATTATCCATCAAAAACAAGTCTCGGCTTGAAAGCGTACGGGGTGCCGTTCCATTCGAGAAAATTAGATTTCCGCTGGGAGTGCGTCCGCGTTGACGGGCCGAAGAGAAGTCCCCGACAGATCTTTATGAATATTCACGAAAAGTACAATAAAAACTTCACTCAGAGTGATGAAGTGGTCTACGCATAAGCTGATTGGATTCTCGTGCTTTCACGCCGCACCGCACCAAAATTTCATCGGCAGTAAATCCTCCTGAGAGCACTTCTCCCCGAACATCACAACCGAAAGAGGAATAACTTCCAATGCGGATCTGAGTGCAACGTACTGTATGTAAAAAATCCACCAGTTTCCAGCTCGTAGTGGACAAAAATTTCAAGTACAGTTATGTATACTTACGCTATTATATGAACAACATCCAATACGGATCTGAGTGCAACGTACTGTATGTAAAAAATCCACCAGTTTCCAGCTCTTAGTGGACAACAATTTCAAGTACAGTTACGTTCTTACGCTATTATATGAACCGGATGCAACTGAGCACCCTCGCTGATTTTCAAATTCAGTACAGTTTTCTGCAAGAATAAAAGAAGAAGTGGAAAATACCTGAAAAGTTTAGGAGTTTAAGCCTAATGAGAACAAGGGAATATTGAAAGACATTCAGAGGATGAAAATAGTGAAGTTGAGTATACGTACACGTGGACTCGCTCTAGAAGAAATTCTTTGTAGAGATAATTCTGTTGCAGATAAAACCTCAACATTGTGAGGAAATCCTACGGGACCAAAAAAGTTCGTTATACAAAGAAAATCGTCGTGGACAAGATCGTTGTTGAGAGAGTCCATCTGTATTTCGTTTGAACGTCCTTCGCACGATGATCTGTAAGAGCTGCGAATAAAATAAATAAATAGCCAGGGAGGGGAAAAAGCGTTCAGTCACGATATTCCCTATTCAATTTCAAGCGCATCTGTGTTTTTAACAGAAACGCAGTCAATTTTTAAACATGTTTGTCATGTAATAAATTCCGAAACATTTGCACACCTTGATTCAGCATTGGACATGGAGAAACGATGCTTCTTCCTCAAGCTGGGTTGACTGAAAAAAAGTACACTTCTTGATCACCCTTGATGACCTGAAAACTTGGAGCATCTCTCGTAAACAGTCAATTTCCGTGGTTTTTGCAGTCAGATAATTTGGAAGACGTGGAAGAATGAAATGCGGCTTACTCGTGCGCGAAAATGTCAAGTTCAGGTCGCAAGGAAGGCTTTGGAAGCACTTTTCTGGGAAAATTCAGCTATCTAATTGATTAAATACAACCGGTTTCTGCTCTTGACAAATGCGCATTGCGGAAAGTTTTAAGCAGCCTTTCCAAGGCTTGACTGCATTGCTCGTGCAACAGTCTTTCCGTTCACTGCATGGTGCTCGGGAACGTTTAACGGGGTACGCCCTTTCGAAAGCCCGTGGTGCATCGCGGATGAAATATTTTCAGCCA